ACTAATTGTCTGGGGCGGGAGGTTTGGAAGATAATGGCTGAAGCATATGGTTTCTACTGCTTCTGAGATTTTTCTGCCTCCCAAGAGCAAGGCCAGCAACAGCCATCCTGGGTCTGAAGGGTGTGGTGGTAACTTCAGAAACCCTCCTTCTCAGGACACGTGCAGGGGACTGGGACATCTAAGCAGACCTGCATCTGATTCCAGGGAACAGAGGTGGCGGGGTTTCAGAGACCCAGAGACCCAGATCTCTCTGGACCTTAATCTCCAATCTTGGGGCTTTTCCTTGTGAAAGCCTGATCCTTCGCAAAACCTCCAGGAAACATCACCCTCCGGGAAACTCCTGAAGCTCTCAATCCCACCAGAAGCAAAATGAAAAGAGAGTACGGGGGCTCCAATCCAGTCTGTTTCAAAACCTCTCCACCCTCTTGCTTAGAACCTCTGCCCATCACTCAGATCATCGTAGGAAAAGCTGTTTAGAATTCGAGTCGGTCGCTGAAAAACATCCTACATTTGCATTTGTCCTCGGCTGTCTTTATCTTCCTGTTAATGATGAGGATACAGGGGTCTGTCAGGATCATTTAGGGTTGAGTACTTCACAGGAGCAAGAGGCGTGCTGGTCAGACAGGAAGAGGAAGAGACTCTACATGAACCCTTCTGATGCATCCTAGGTCCCAGTTCCTGCTGCATCACTTACTGACTGTGCGACCTTGGGCAAGTCATCAGCTCTCTGAGCTTCCATCTCTGCAGACATCTGAGGCGGATAATAGCAGGAACGTCTGACCTACCTCTCAGTGCCTTGGTGAGGATCAAATGAGATAATGGACATGAAAGAGCTTTGTAAACCATATCCCACTTTACAAAGGAAAGCCGTTGTTATTAATAATAATGACTCTTCCCGCTGGTAATGGCTGTCCGCCGGGAGTTGGGGGGGATGCTCCGCCAGCTCTGCCTGGCTCTGTTCAGGTCCTTTTTGAAGGCCTGGCGTGGGCCCTGTCACTCACCAGGAGACACCTCAGGGGACTTTGTCAGAGGTGCCGGAGGAGAGTGGCCAGGGTGCCCTGTCCCTCAGGTTTGATGCAGCATAATTGTTTTGACATATGATGGAATTTGTCCTCGCACAGGTCAGAAAAAAAGCCCAATACCGATGCTTTTCATCTAATTTCAATTACAGTCATTAAAACCCTTACTCCTGAGTCAAGCCTTTCCAAAAAGCCATCAATGACAGCCCATTACAGAAGAGTTATTTATAGTGGCGCATGTTAATTTTACAGTACCACAGACCAATGATTCATGGCTTGGCATTAGTGAGAGACATCATTCACAGGGCTGAGTGATCCCTGACATAACAAGTGCTGCTCTGAGTCTCTGCAGGGACGATTCAAGGCCTCAGACTTGGAGACCAGGCCCTGTGCCGAGCAGAACATTCAGAGTCTCTTGGCTTGGCCCATTCCACCCAAGGACACCTTCTATCCTAAATGGAGGAGAACAGGACAATCAGCTTTGGGATTGGAGTGTGACATCTACAGGATTTCTAACTGAGATGCTATCTAACCTGGGCCAGAATTGCAGCTTTTCCTTCTCATACCGACAGCTATTGGGATGAGCATTTAGTAGATCTCATACTATTTGCTACTACGTGATAACTCTAAGGGGACATCTGATACTCGCCTGAACTGGATGGAAGAAGATGGCTCTAGGGCCATCGAAAGCCCAGCTTCCTTTTATCCAAACTACTTCAACCTCAGGTTCGTAAGTGCCACTTTGCCCGATCAATATCAGGCCTCTTGAATCTTGGTCTATTTGTGGCTGAAATTCTCCCCCTTGATTAAAAATTCACCAGGAGGCAGCCTGATGTGACATTTATGAGTTCCTGGAAGTCCATAAATGTTGAATGTTAGAAATTAGCGCAAGTTGTTTAGATGATAAAAAGCAATAAGCAACCAGGAGGACTAATATTCAGCACTCTTATATTTTTATTGTCTATCCATGGAGCCTCACAGCAAACTGGAATGAAAACTTCATACAAAGCCCTTCCATGTTTGATGTAACCTTCCTACGAGTCCCGCCTCTAAATAGTACTCTCTTACAGATGAAGGTGAGTGGGGTTCAATGTAACTGACTGCCCTCTTTCCTTCCAGCTTGGGACCACTTTGACCACAAGTAACTGGCCCAAGTTCCCTGCTCTATTTCAACACAAACCATGATAATAAGTATTGAAACTGACTATGTTGGCTCAGTCCTCATATAATGGTAGCTCTGCAATCATTGGGAGGAAAGATGGGCAAAAATAAATGTGTGACTTCATCATTTTGGAGTTTTCAACCACAGGGTTTTTACACTCCACCCATGATTATTTCTTTCACATTATTTCCTGCCCACATCCCAGCACTTTTCTGAGCCTCCGTTCCCCTCAGACATTTCTATAATGTTCCCTCTGTACACCCTTCCGGGCCATCGATCACAGTTCTGGGAGCTTTAGCATGCTTCCTGGGAGGCCTTGTCTAGTCTAGGCTGAAGTCAATGAAAAGACAGAGAAGGTTCAATGACTAAGGCTCTAATGAACCAGCTGAGCGCTGTTCCACTTCTTTTACTGCACGGCCGTCCAGAGAGCAGTTTGTATGTAGAATTCCAATTCTGTCCGGTGACTGGAACATTGCAGAAAGTACCGTGAGGCACTCTTCTCGACTCTCGAATGGAGAAAACTAGCAATGTGCTATATTATGGGTGGATGAAAGAGAGAATGGTGCAAAGAGGACAGGGTCTAGAGCCACGTGGTTTGGGTTGATTCCAAGCTCCACCATTTATCAGGTTTGGACTTTGTTCTTTAACCTCCCTATGCATCTATGTTGTCTTCTGTAGAGCAGACGTGATGACGGCTCCTGTTGTTACAAGAGAGCAAATGAGTTTACATTTGAAGGAATCTCCTTTAGGATGGACTGGTTGGATCTCCTTGCAGTCCAAGCATGTTTAGTTGATATATAATGTTGTATTAGTTTGGGGCATACAGCAAAGTGATTCATTCTTTTTTAGATTCTTTTCTCATATAGGTTATCACAGAATACAGATTAGAATTCCCTGTGCTATACAGTAGGTCCTCTGGGGTATCTCTCTTATATATAGTAGTGTGTGAATATTCATCCCAAGCTCCTGATTTATCCCTCCTGCCACAAGCATGTTTTCCCTTTGATAACCAGAAGTTTGTTTTCAATATTTGTAAGTCCATTTCTGTTTTGTGAATAAGTTCATTCATATCATATTTTAAATTAGATTCCATATACGAGTCATATCATATGGTGTTTTTCTTTGACTTACTTCACTTAGTATGATAATTTCTAGGTCCATTCACGTTGCTGCAAATGGCATTATTTCCTTCTTTTATGCTTAATAATATTCCATTGTATGTGTGTACCACATCTTTATCCTGTCCTCTGTTGATGGACATTTAGGTGGCTTCCATTTCTTGGTAATTGTAAACAGTGCTGCAATGAACATTGGGGTGCATGTATATTTTGGGATTATTGTTTTCTCTGGATATATGCCCATGAGTGGGATTGCTGGACCATATGGTAGTTCTATTTTTAGTTTTTTAAGGAACTTCCATACTGTTCTCCATAGTGATTATACCAATTTAGATTGAGAGACATTTGTAATTTAAGAAATATTTATGGACTATCCACTGTCCAAAGACACAATGTTAAATAACATGGAAAATGAACAAAATGTGCCTGCTTTTAAGGACAGTGTTTGGAGAAGCATAGACATAGCCTCAAAAAACCAAGAGAGGAGGGCTGGTACATGATCTATGCAGGGGGATTTGCACAGATGATGGACAGATCACTTCACAACAATGATGGAAGGCCAGTCTAGCTGGGAGGGGTCTAAGAAGGTTACCCAAGAGACGATATTTGAATTGCTCCTTAAAGGATGAGCAGTATTTCCAAGGGCAGATAATGTGGGACAGGTGGCAGAAGGCTGCCCCATGGGTGCCTAGCACAAACACAAAGTCAAATTGCTACCCTGCATGTCCACCAATGCCATATCTGTCTTCTCCCCAGGGCTCCTTTCCCAGGCTTGCCTGCCTTTCTCCCTCTTTTTCCATCCCTCACTTCACTTGAAAATTTCTACCACAGGCCTCCCCTTTTCTTCTAATTACTTTCTTCTTATTTTATCTTTCTTTTAATCTCAAAAATTAATGTAAGAAACTTAAATCAAATAATATAGAAAGGTACAAAATGAAAATCAATCTCTTCTTCCACCCTCTGCTCCTTAGAGGTAACAACAGGGTGGTCATTTTGAAACATGACCACAAATTCTTAGTGCTTCTCCCTCTGATGGGAGCGTTATGTCTGTCCCCTTGAAACTGAGCAGGTTTATAGCTACTTCCACCCATGGAGGAGGACAGAGGAGGCAGTGCGTGCCTTCCAAGACTGAGACATTAAAAGACCATGCAGCGTCATCTGTGTTCACCCAGCACCCTCTCTAGGAACCCTGAGCTTCCATATAAGAAACTCAGCCTTCTGACATCCTGGATAGTGAGGCTAGGTGCCCACATTCTGGGCAGTAGTCCCAGTTGGGTCCAGCCTTCCAGCCTTCTCCAGCACTTACAGAGTTAACAGACACCACTGCACAACTGATTTAACCAGACTTTTAATGATAACTCCTGTAGTAGCCTCCAGGTTTCTGGCATTACAAAAATCCAGCCGTGAACACTCTTATCTATACATCCTTGCTCAGTGTATGGCTGTGTCTGTAAGAAAAAATCTCAGAAATAATGTGGCTGAACCCAAGAGTACGTAAGGATTTCCCAGGCAAGAATACTGGAGCAGTTTGCCATTTCCTGCTCCAGGGGTTTACCCTACCCAGGGATGGAACCCGCATCTCCTGCACTTGCAGGGGAATTCTTTATCACGGCTCTACCTAGGAAGTCCTTTAAACAGGTTATGTCAATTTAGCTTTTTCCTGATCATGCATGAGAGTGCCTATTTCCCCACAATCTCACCAACACTGAGTATTATTGCTTTTTCATCTTTACCATTCTACATCATCTCTGCCTCCTTTATGATGTGCCCCAGCTGTATGCGGTGTCAGCAAGCCATCCAAGCATGACCTGTCTCCACATGCAAACCCAGGGGAGGGGGTCTGCAGAAGTGGGGAGGAGGGGTGTATAGAACGTTCAATATTAATGAGAACTAAGTTAACACAAAGATGAGACGCAGAACATAGCAGCCTTGCAGAGCAGATGTGTCAGAATATAATGGAACTCAGCTCAGTGACATCCTGCTAATGGCAGGTATTATCTGAAGTCCAGAAAGACCCTGTTGGAAGAAGAGAGTTTGGGGCTCAGGGAATGAGGAGGGAGGTTTGAGAAATGAAAGGAAGTTCTTTCAATTAATCAAAGTGCTCACTGAACAGCTGGCTAAAAATAGAATATTTTATAATGATTGATTACAACCTAGATGATTCCAGGGTACAGTCAAGAATTGTGGGCTCCAAACCTCACTGCCTGGCAATATTACCTGGAGTTTTTTTTTAGAAAAATATAGATATTTCATCTTCCTAATCACTGCTTTAAACACATATATTGTTATCATGATTCTGATTGTTGATCCAAGCTTCTAACAACCCATCAGGAAATTCTGAGGCAGAATAAGGTTAAGGAGCAGAGTTTCTCAAACATGCATGGGCATCAGAAACACCCGGGATCTATTAAAACACGGATTGCTGGGCTCTACCATAATAACTTACAATTTGGTAAACCTGGGGTGGGCCTGGGAATTTGCATTTCTAGCAGGCTCCTAGGAGATGCTGGTCCAGGGTCAGAGCCTGGGGACCAGTGCTACAGTAGGAGAAACACTGAGAGCTTGCTGGCTGGAAATGCAGAAACCTAAGCCCCACCTCAGACCTGAGGAATCAGAACCTGCATTTACTAAGAGACCCAGCTATCTGTGTGTTTATTAAGCACCTCACTACGGGTCTTACCTTTGTTGTCTGGGAAAAGATTCAAAGGGAAGAGGCCTGAGGGAGTGGAAGCCGGCCAGGAAGACCTGCGTTCTGGTCGCAGTACTAATGACATTCATGATAAAATAAATTGCTTCATCTCCAGTGGCTTGTTTCCTTATAAATAAAAGGGCGATACTGAGGTAAGTAATCCTGTAGATTTCCTTTCTTGTTACCTGTGCTTTAAATGTGGTAACTGAAACGCTGTATGGGCTGAATTGTATTCACTCCAAATTATCAATGTTGATGTCCTAACCCCCCAGTACCTCCGAATGTGATGGTATTTAGAGAGCGTGTCTTTAAAGAGGTTGCTTGTGGTTCAGCTGCTCAGTCAAGTCTGACTCTTTGTGATCTCATAGACTGCTGTCTGCCAGGTTCCTTTGTCCGTGGGGTTTCCCAGGCAAGAATACTGGAGTAGACTGCCATTTCCTTCACCAGGGAATCTTCCCAACTCAGGGATCGAACCCGTGTCTCTCGCATTGGCAGGCTTATTTCTCTTTTAAATATTTATTTATTATTTTTGACTGTTCTGGATCTTCACTGGTGCTTGGGTTTTTCTCCAGTTGCGGCAAGTGGGGGCTACTCTTTATTTGCCATGCGTGGGGCTTCTCATTGCAGTGGCTTCTCTTGTTGGGGAGCATCAGCCCTAAGGCACACAGGCTTCAGTAGATGAGGCAGGCAGGCTCAGTAGTTGCAGCTCGTGGGCTCTAGAGCACAGGCTCAGAAGTCGTGGTCCACGGGCTTAAGTCGCTCCGAGGCATATGGGATCTTCCTGGCCAAGGGATAGAGCCTGTTACTCTTGCACTGGCAGGCAGATTCTTTACCCATCGACCCACCGGGGAAGCTGGCAGGCTGATTCTTTATGGATGAGCCACCTGGGGAGCCCCCTTAAAGAGGAAATTGAAGTTAAATTGGGTCTGCAGGGTGGGCATGCTGAAATTCAATGGACATGAACTTGGATAAGCTCTGGGTGATGGTGAAGGACAGGGAGGCCTGGCGTGCAGCAGTCCATGGGGTCTCTGGGGTGGATCTACTCTGACTGGTGTCCTTTCAAGGAGAGAACAGGACACAGACAAGCACAGAGAGACAGTGAGAAGGCAGAGTGCGAACATGGTCACGTACAAGCCAAGGAGAGGCCTCGGAAGAAACCAGCCCTACTGACACCTTGATCTTGGGTTCAGAGCCTCCAGAACTGTGAGGACACCTGGTCTGTGCCTCTATGTTATGGCAGCCCTAATAGACGAATACACGTGTGTATTTTAGAACTTTGCAACTAAATCTAGATTAGAGTCTAAATGCAGAAATCGGATTTCTTATTACCACTCATTTCACATCAGACCCATTAGCTGCTGCAGGAAGAATGCCAGGGATTTCCACTGGGGCCTCAGGTTTTCTAGACAATTCCAACATGGGTGCAAATTCATTTCCCTGGATGCCATACCAAAACTATGGAACCCTCATTTACCATCAAACATCCCATTTCCCCCAACCTGATTGCCACATGTACCCCCACTTCTACCAGCCCTACCCATTCTGCCTAGATTTAGCTTTAAATTTTGATCCCTTGTAGTTCAGTGGCTAAGACTCCAGGCTTCCAGTGCAGGGGGTCCAGGTTTCATCCCTGGCCAGGGAACTAAATCCCATATGCTGCAACTAAGAAAGACCCTGCTTGTTACAACCAAAGATCCCAAAACTTATACCTGGTTTAGCCAAATAAATAAATATTTTTAAAAAAAGTTTGATCTCTGACCTTTGATCTCAGTAAACCCCTCTTTTCACAAATCAAGTAAATCGCATTTCTGCAGTGGTTCCTGGTTGTTTCATAATCCCTTTGTTCAAGCACAGGTTTATATTGATTGAATTTTCATTCAGATTATTTTATCCCAACTAAACCAAGATACTCACAAACATAAAGGATAACGATGATGAGGATAGGAACTGTCCAGTCCAGTGTAGGTACATTCAGACCATCTCCTTGCTTCACTGTAGTTGCTAGAGTAATACGGCTTAGAAGTAAGAAGTCTAGAATTTCTCTAGTTAAATGCAAAGACTCAGGCCTCCAAATGCTAATATAAGAATCTCCAAACACTGTTTTGAGAACCCAAAAGGTAAGCCTATTTTTCACAAGTAAAAGATGTAGGCAACTTGGGCATTTTTCAGTAAAGATACAAGTAGTCAAAATCCTACAAAAGAAAAAAAATTTAAGACATTTCTGAGCAACAGAAGGAATGTCAAAACTTATTTTTTTCTTTTTTCCCATCAAGGTAGTATAAAAGTGTGTTTCTCAGCCATAAATGTGCATGCACGTCACCTGGGGTCTTGTTAAAGTGTTCATTCTGATTCAGAAGGTCTGGAGTCTGAGAGTCTACATTTTTAAAAAGCTCCTAGTGGGGTCCTTCCCTGGTGGTCCAGTGGTTAAGACTCTGCAGTATCACTGCAGGGGGTGTGAGTTCAATCCCTGGTCTGAGAACTAAGTTCCCACATGCCTCACAGAGTGGCCAAAAAAAAAAGTCCTAATGGAAGCCCACTCTGCTGGTCCATTGACTACACGCTGAATAGCAAGGATCTAGTGGAAACAGTGTCAGACTTTATTTTTCTGGGCTCCAAAATCACTGCAGATGTTGACTACAGCCATGAAATTAAAAGATGCTTACTCCTTGGAAGGAAAGTTATGACCAATCTAGATAGCATGTTAAAAAGCAGAGACATTACTTTGCCAACAAATGTCCGTCTGGTCAAGGCTATGGTTTTTCCAGTGGTCATGTATGGATGTGAGAGTTGGACTGTGAAGAAATCTGAGCGCCGAAAAATTGATGCTTTTGAACTGTGGTGTTGGAGAAGACTCTTGAGAGTCCCTTGGACTGCAAGGAGATCCAACCAGTCCATCCTAAAGGAGATCAGTCCTGGGTGTTCATTGGAAGGACTGATGCTGAAGCTGAAACTCCAGTACTTTGGCCACCTCATGCGAAGAGCTGACTCATTGAAAAAGACCCTGATGCTGCAAGGGATTGGGGGCAGGAGGAGAAGGGGATGAGAGAGGATGAGATGGCTGGATGGCATCACCGACTTGATGGGCATGAGTTTGAGTAAACTCCGAGATTTGGTGATGGACAGGGAGGCTTGGCGTGCTGTGATTCATGGGGTCGCAAAAACTCGGACATGACTGAGTGACTGAACTGAACTGAATGGAAAGAGAGGTCAATGGTTTCTGCAGTTTCAATGATACAAAAGTTTAAATTCTAAGATTTGCTTTGGATGGGTTAGACCCCTTTACCTTGTCTAAGGTGGGTGTTTGAGAGACACAAAACCTGGACATCATTCCTATGGGCGCTTAACATCTTTTGAAGAGGCCAGCAAGACCAGGAGAAGATATCCAATTTGTTGGCTATTGTTGCAAGTGGTGTGCTCCAGCTCACTCTTCTGCACTGACACAAAGAAAGGCAAGTATTAATAAATGATTGACACAAAGTGAGTTTAAATTGTAGAGTCTGATAAACATCCCTTCTCTATCTTTCCAGGTCCCTGGAGACATTCCCTAGGCCTGGTTATACAAGCTCAGCAGTTTTCTCACCTCCTGGTCCCAGAGGGTGCAGTATCATTAACTGAGGTACCCACCAGAAAAGGCAACTGCAGGTGTCCCCTACAGTTCACCAAGTTTCTGAATAAAACTTGTCTCTACACTGGGGTCACCTGAGTAGCTTCAGATATTGCTGATGGCCTGGTGTAATCCTCAAATACTGAGACTTAATCGATCTGGAGTTCGTCCTGGGCTTTAGAATATTTTGAAGACCTCGCCCCTACCCCAAGATAGTTCAAATGTGCAAACAAGTATGGAAATCACTGCTAAACCGTAATTTTCTGAAGGACGTAAAAGAGCTGCCTCTCAATTGATTGTTCTTTCATTCATGCATGCATGCACAGTTGTTGTTCAGTCGCTAAATCATGTCTGACTCTTTGCGGCTCCATGGTCTGCAGCATGCTAGACTTCCCTGTCCTTCACTATCTCCCAGAGTTTGTGCAAACTCATGTCAACTGAGTCAGTGATGCCATCCAACCATCTCATCCTCTGCTGCCCCCTTCTCCTCCTGCCCTCAATCCTTCCCAGCAACAAGGTCTTTTCCAGTGAGTCAGCTCTTCGCATCAGGTGGCCAAAGTCTTGGAGCTTCAGCTTCAGCACAAGTCCTTCCAATGAATATTCAAGGTTGATTTCCTGTAGGATTTAATGGATTGATCGCCTTGCAGTCCTTGCAGGGACTCTCAAGAGTCTGCATGCATATATACAGCAAATAATTACTGAGGACAGATATTGTGCCAATGCTATGCCAGGTCCTTTATGCCAAAGAGGAAGGACATAGCCCCTGCCCTCAGGGATTTGCAGTCCAGGGGAAGAGATGTAGATGAGTGAACAGACAACTCAAGTATAGGATGATGGTTTCAGGGTGGTGGGACGATGGCATGAGGGATGACAGTAATGACAGAACCACATGTCTCCTGTGCAATTTCCTCTCTCAGAATCAAGACACCAGACAGCAGTTCTGACAGGAAGAGCACACAGTATTCACTCATTCAACAAATATTTAGTGAGCACGGATCACATGCCTATCATTGGGTGAGTTGCTGAGTAGATGGCAAATGAAGCAGTTGACTCCATAAACACAAAGTCTCATTCTCCTCTCTGAATTTTTGAATTTTCTAGTAGAGTAGATATTTGTTGTCTTTGTGCTGCGCTGTACTAAGTTGCTTTAGTCATGTACGACCCCATGGACTGTAGCCCTCCAGGCTTCTCTGTCCATGGGATTCTCCAGGCAAGAATACTGGAGCAGGTTGTCAGGCCGTCCTCCAGGGGATCTTCCCAACCCAGGGATCGAACCCACATCTCTTATGTCTCCTGCATGAGCTGGCGAGTTCTTTACCATTATCACCAACTGGGAAGCCCTTCCTTATCTTTAGTTGCTTGTAATTCAGTTTCTCTTCTGGTACCAGGACTCAGAACTTTCTCTGAGAAACAGCCACATTTCTGGGGTTTTTTCTGGGGAATCTCCTCTAAGTAGAACATCACGTTTTCCTGGCTTTGATTTTACCCTTAGACTTAAACTTGGTGTGTACATGGACATGGAGCTGTTGGCTTCCATCTTGCAAGCCATGGATAGCTGTAAAGGATGCAGCCAACTTGAAGAAGCAAGCCAGGAAGTAGAGGCTGCTGTTTGGATGGCCCTGGATGAGGTCATGTCTGTACCCCCTGCCATAGGGGCTAACTCTCAAGAGTCTGCATGCATATATACAGCAAATAATTACTGAGGACAGATATTGTGCCAATGCTATGCCAGGTCCTTTATGCCAAAGAGGAAGGACATAGCCCCTGCCCTCAGGGATTTGCAGTCCAGGGGAAGAGATGTAGATGAGTGAACAGACAACTCAAGTATAGGATGATGGTTTCAGGGTGGTGGGACGATGGCATGAGGGATGACAGTAATGACAGAACCACATGTCTCCTGTGCAATTTCCTCTCTCAGAATCAAGACACCAGACAGCAGTTCTGACAGGAAGAGCACACAGTATTCACTCATTCAACAAATATTTAGTGAGCACGGATCACATGCCTATCATTGGGTGAGTTGCTGAGTAGATGGCAAATGAAGCAGTTGACTCCATAAACACAAAGTCTCATTCTCCTCTCTGAATTTTTGAATTTTCTAGTAGAGTAGATATTTGTTGTCTTTGTGCTGCGCTGTACTAAGTTGCTTTAGTCATGTACGACCCCATGGACTGTAGCCCTCCAGGCTTCTCTGTCCATGGGATTCTCCAGGCAAGAATACTGGAGCAGGTTGTCAGGCCGTCCTCCAGGGGATCTTCCCAACCCAGGGATCGAACCCACATCTCTTATGTCTCCTGCATGAGCTGGCGAGTTCTTTACCATTATCACCAACTGGGAAGCCCTTCCTTATCTTTAGTTGCTTGTAATTCAGTTTCTCTTCTGGTACCAGGACTCAGAACTTTCTCTGAGAAACAGCCACATTTCTGGGGCTTTTTCTGGGGAATCTCCTCTAAGTAGAACATCATGTTTTCCTGGCTTTGATTTTACCCTTGGACTTAAACTTGGTGTGTACATGGACATGGAGTTGTTGGCTTCCATCTTGCAAGCCATGGATAGCTGTAAAGGATGCAGCCAACTTGAAGAAGCAAGCCAGGAAGTAGAGGCTGCTGTTTGGATGGCCCTGGATGAGGTCATGTCTGTACCCCCTGCCATAGGGGCTACCCTGGTGGTTCAGAAGTTAAAGAGTCCACCCCCAATGCAGGAGGCTCAGGTTTGATCCCTGGGTCTGGAAGATCCCCTGAAGAAGGGAATAGAATGGCTATCCCCTGCTGTGTATGCTCATAATTTTCCTTTGGAGCCTAATCCAACTTGACTTAGCTTTCCTGGTATTTGCAACCCAGAGTGTCTGAAATGCTGCACCTAAAATGGATTTTTTTCAGGACTATTTTTGTGTGATTGAAAACAAGAATAGATCCATTAATATCTGTTCATGAATTGCTCAGTTTCCTGTTTTGTAAAAATGTGTTTTTTAGATATTCTATTCTAATACATCTTTAGGTGTATAAATAGAATTCTCTAAAGTAAGTCAGATCATGAGCTTAAGATGTTCTTTAGAAAAGTACTTAAATCATGCTATACCTAGTGAGCAGCTGCCAACTAAAGCTCAAAGAGCAGATGGAGGGAAGTATTCCAGGTTGTTCTCTTTGGCTTCTAACACATACCTGAGAGAACCTTCTAGGTTTGAGAAGTCTGGGTTGGGGCTTTGCTTTCTCTGGACAGTACTGCTGTGTGATTAGGAATTATGGTGAGGAGGAGCTGGTGAGGTTTGGAAGGTCTTGAACCTCAGAACCAATCAGCTTAGAGTCCCTGCAGAGAGGTGTGCTCAGCTCCTGAAGGGTCAAGATATCCATGGTCCCAAGATACGGGGATGGAGATCACCATGAAGGTAGCAAAAGTTATCAGGTGAGGTGGAGGAGAGTTTGTTAAACTAAGCATCTCTCTTCACCAAGTACTGCTTGTGCTTCTAAATATATCTCAAATTGTCTTCTTTTACAGGTGGTGTAAATCCATGGCTAATTCATTAAAAAAAAAAAAAAAGGATTTCAAATTGTCTTCTTGATTCCAACTGTCTTGATATTTTTGTCCGAATTCTCATCATCACTAACCTAAACTAATGCAACAATCTCTTAATTGTTCGTCCTACTTTTGTTTAATTGGAGGATAATTGCTTTACAATGTTGTGTTACTTTCTGCTGTACAACAATATGAAGAAACCATAAGTATACATACGTTCCCTCCCTCTAGAGCATCCCTCCTACTCCCCCACCCCTCCTACTTGTCGTGTCCTTCTAGGTTATCACAGAGCACAGAGCTGAGCTCCCTATATTATACAGCAACTTCCCGCTAGCTAGCTATTTTACCTATGGTAATATATATGTTTCAATGCTACTCTTCTTCCCCTACTATGTCCACAAGCCTGTTCTCTGTGTCTGTATCTCTATTCTTGCCCTGCAAATAGGATCATCAGTCCTCCTATTTTTAATAGCATTTCCACCTCCAGGCACCGAGTCAGTCCATCCTCCAAGCTGCACCTAAGTGGGCCAATCATGCTACCTATTTAGAATCCTTCTCACTTGTCCCATCGCTTACAGAAGGTCCAAGATTAATGTTAAGGTACCATTTGCCTCTATCTACCTATAAAAGCTTTACCTCTAGTTTTCAGCACAGGCTAGGTTGCTTCAAGTACTTATGCCTGTGCTCACTGAGTTCTTTCAAAGTCTTTTGGGGAAAACCTCTTCATCCTTCAAAACTAAGTCCAGATATTCCCTTCTTCAGGAGGCCTTTCCAAGAATCCCCTAATTCCTTCCTTCTCTGTTCTTTATTTATAATTTCTACTTACCTTTATCCTCTAATATCCTGCCATTATATGTTTGCCCTTCTATCTAAGTTTGAGTTCCTCTAAGACAGGAACACTTTTGGGGCTTCCCTGGTAGCCCAGTGGTTAAGACTTACCTTCCAATGCAGGGGGCATGGGTTCAATATTTGGACAGAGAGTTAAGATCCTACATGCCTTGCAGCCAAAAAACCAAAGCATAAAAAAACAGTGTTGTAACAAATTTGATAGAGATTTTTTTAAATGGTTCATATCCAAAAATCTTAAGAAGGAAAAAAAAAGACAGGACTAGTTTCTTATTCATTTTCTGTCTCTAATATCAAGAGTCCCTTGAACTGCAAGGAGATCCAACCAGTCCATCCTAAAGGAGATCAGTCCGGGATGTTCATTGGAAGGACTGATGCTGAAGCTGAAATTCCAGTACTTTGGCCACCTCGTGTGAAGAGTTGACTCATTGGAAAAGACCCTGATGCTGCAAGGGATTGGGGGCAGGAGGAGAAGGGGATGACAGAGGATGAGATGGCTGGATGGCATCACCGACTCGATGGGCATGAGTTTGAGTAAACTCTGGGAGCTGGTGATGGACAGGGAGGCCTGGCGTGCTGCGATTCATGGGGTCGCAAAGAGTCAGACACGACTGAGTGACTGAACTGAACTGAACTGAATATCAAGTACAGTGCCTGACACATCATAAATGTTGAAAGTTAGTTGCTCAGTTTTGTCCAACTCTTTGTGACCCCATGGACTGTAGCCCCCAGGTTCTTCTGTCCATGGACTTGAACCCAGGTCTCCTGTATTGCAAGTGGATTCTTTACCATCTGAGCTACCAGGGAAGCCCTCAGTGAATTTTCAGTGAATTGAGCTGATTGCATATGTCTCCAAGTCAGTGCTGAGGGTGATTTGGAAACAGTCATCCTGATGATCAGAAAGTGAAAGTGAAAGTTGCTCAGTCCCGTCCAACTCTTTGCAACCCCATGGACTATACAGTCCATGGAATTGTCCAGGCCAAAATACTGGAGTGGGTAGCCTTTCCCTTCTCCAGGGGATCTTCCCAACCCAGGGATCGAACCCAGGTCTCCCTCATTGCAGGTGGATTCTTAACCAGCTGAGCTACAAGGGAAGCCCAAGAATACTGGAGTGGGTAGCCTATCTCTTCTCCACCAGATCTTCCCCACATAGGAATTGAACCGGGGTCTCCTGCATTGCAGGCGGATTCTTTACCAACTGAGCTATTAGGAAAGCCCCCTGATGATCAGGGGTGAGATCAAAATTAGATTAAGATGAGACAGGAAATGGGCTTCCCCGTGCGTGGCTCAGTGGTAAAGAATCTGCCTGCAATGCAAGAGACAAAGGAGATATAGGTTCAATCCCTGAGTCAGGAAGATCCCCTGGAGGAGGAAATGGCAACCCACTCCAGTATTTTTACCTGGAAAATTCCATGGACAGAGGAGCCTGGTGGGCTACAGCCCATGGGGATGCAAAGAGTCTGACACAACTGCAGCAACATAGCACTCACGCATGAGATGGGAAACAGCTAAAAAATAGTGATAAAACTTTACCTATATGCTGATATCTCCTCTTAAAGGTTATCTAATTTAATATGTTAAGGCTTACCATGTTTAACTTTTGCATTAGAAGTGACTAATTCTGAAAAAATATATATTTATAAAGTGTGTAGATTCGAGTTGAAATCTCCATAGAAATCTTACACACTAATTCTGACTTATACCCAAACACCTTTCTAGTTTACTCTGGGAGAAAACAGGATTCCAATTACCTACCCTAAATTAAGTGAAAATGTCTAAGAGGAAAAGAAATTCTTAACGAAAAAAATTTTTTAAAGACATTCTTTAATCCTAATTATGCAAAACTAAAATTAGTGGAGACAATCTAGGCTGAATCCCAAAGGGTCAGAGTACAAGAAGGTAGAGAGCAAAAGCTCCATTACCATCCTGCCTTACCAATTCAGATGACTGGGTCCCTAGCAATGATTTCCAGACAGTCTATAGCCCAGAGCCAGGGGCGTGAAGCAGAGGGCCCCTCAATTTTTTTCTGAGTCTACAGTCACCCTTTTTGGATAAGCCCTGCTGGAGCTGGGTTGTGTTTATTCCTAGTAACCATTAAAGTTACAGCATCACTTTAAACTAGCTGCAGTAAAAGAAGAAAAAAAAAAAGCCAGTGAGAGGGAGCCTGAGATTGCCTTGTAAAATTGGCAAGGACTTTCACTTGCTTTTTGCTGCTGCTCTTAAATTCAAGGCTGGTTTCCACATTCCAGAAGCCCTGTTTTGTGACTGAGGACACTGGGGAGCAATGGGGCAATTTTCCCATTTTGCCCATTCATTTAGCAATTTCATTGTTAATATAATAAGATTAACCTTTCTGCTGTAGTGAGTGTGGCTTCTTCATGCCAAGGACACCATCCTGTTCATAAGTATAATAAATCCTCTAAAAAATAAAAAATCCAACAATCAAGAGACAAATGTAACAACCTGGAATTTCTGGATCCTCCACCAATTTAATTAGAATGGCAATGAAAGAACATGTGCCTAATTAAACTGTCAATCAAACCAAAACGACATGCATCCTATTTATACAAATGTTTACTCCTGTTTCTGTGGCTTGAATCAGCCCTTCTAGCCCAGGAGGCAGCAAGTGGTGATTAAAAAACAAGTGAGATGAGAA